AAACTGAATGTGCACAAGTCCATGGTACCTGATGAAATCCATCCATGGGTCCTGAGGGATGAAGTTGCTAAGCCAATATCCATTGTATTTGAAAAATCATGGCACTCAGATGAAGTTCCTGACAACTAGAAAAAGGGAAATATAACCCCTATTTTCAAGAAGGGGAAAGTGTTAGACATGGGGACTAGTCAGTCCCATCTCTGTGCCTGGCAGGATCATGGAACCACGAAACTATGAAAACCATGAAAACCAATGAGGTGGTTGGTACAGCCAACATGGCTTCATGCCTGACCAATCTGGTGGCCTTCTTAGATAGGGCTATACAACTGATGAACAGGGGCATAGCAGTTAACATTGTCTACCTGGATTTGTGCAAAGCGTCTGATACTGTCCCACATAACACCCAGACAAGGACTTGGGTGGGGGCTGCTTGATGAAAAACATAACATGAGCTGGCTTCAGTGTGCGCTTGCAGCCCAGAAAGCCAACCATATGCAGGGCTGCACTAAAAGAAGTGTGACCAGCAGGTCAAAGGAGGTGATCCTGCACCTCAACTCTGCTCTGGTGAGAACCCATTTGAAGTACTGTGTACAGTTCTGGTGTCCTCAACATAAGAAGGACAAACAGCTGTTGGAGCAAGTCCAGAGAAGGGTCACCAGGATGATCAGGGCAATGGAGCACCTCCCATATGAAGACAGGCTGAGTAAATTCGGACTGTTCAGCCTGGAGAAGAGAAGCTGTATGGAAACCTCATAGCAGCCTTCCAGTTTCTGAAGGGGGCCTACAAGGGTGTCGGAGAGGGACTCTTCATTAGAGACTGCAGTGATAGGACAAGGGGTAATGGATTTAAACAGGGGAAGTTCAGGTTAGATGTAAGGAAGAAGTTCTTTACTGTGAGGGAGATGAGGCACTGGAACAGGTTGCACAAAGACATGGTACATGTTCCATCCCTGGCCGTGTTCAAGGCTAGACTGGCCAGAGCCTTGGGTGACATGGTCTGGTGTGAGGTGCCCCTGCCCATGGCAGGGGGTTGAAACTAGGTAACCTTAAGGTACTTTCCAACCCTAACTATTCTGTGATTCTACGAGTATCTCATCCAACATATTCAAATCTCTAGAGTACATTGTAGGTCACTGCCAATACCAAGATTTCCAGTGCATACACAATAGTTTTAATGGCTTCTTTCAGGAAAGAAATTTACAGTGCAATCCTTTTTTTCCTTCAAATTTTTGCCACTCATTCATCTACTGTTCTCCAGTTCTAAATGGGTAATCAGAAGAAAATGAAGGGTCTAAGAAGGAGAAAAAAAAAGAAAAAAGAAAAAAAGAAAAGAAAAATAAAAAGGATTCATGCTTCCCCCCCAAAAAAAAATGAAACAAAAACTCCAAGGAACCCACAAAACTCAGAGTCACTTGAGATAGGGTCTTTGAAATAAAATTATACAGATAAAAACTAAGCATCTTTTTTTAAAGCCTGCATCATGTAATAACGCATTCAACACTGATGCATCAGTGTTGACAGCGTGCTTCATTTGTTTTCTGTAAATAACAAATAAAAGCACCCTTACCAGTTAGCTTAAATTCTCAAGAAGGCAACAGGGAAAAAATAAAAATAAAAATCAGCATATGGAGAAGCTAAATATAAAGTCTCCCTACTGCTGACCTACCCTATCCTTAAAACAAGCTTGTGTTAAACCATTCACAAAATAAATACTGAAGTCACACCTTTAAAATAGCACAAAAAGTCAGCGTATCTTGTTCGTTACCTAACCATGTGGGTGAACTCTGCCACTTTACGTCCCCAGGCAAGTTTTCACCAAGACAAAGTGAGTAAAATGTAAAAGTTCAAATGAAAACGGGATTACAGAATTTGAAGCTATAACCATTCCTTTATTTCTTTCCTCCCGTTGCTAACCAAGCTAAAAAAAAAAAAAATCCCATGACTTCAGGACACCTCCTCTGTAGATGGATAAGAACAGAAGATGCACAAGCAGGGCTACTACAGATCTCCTCATTTACTGTATTTGTAGTAGTCTCCTACAATACAGCCCCCCTCTTGCCCTTTACCAATGGTGCACACTCATCCCACTCTCCATGATTACAGGTTTCTACTAGCTAAAGCATGTAACTCACAAAAGAGGAGAAAGTTATAAAGCTTTATAACTACAGTGTTCTACAACATCCAGCTGCCATTGTCATTACTAACTGCTGGAGTTACCTCCTCCTATTGTTGAATATGATGAAGTTTGTCAACTCTGAAAGGTGCCTGAACTGCCAGTTGAAACTGTTTACACGGACAGTATGGTTCAAGAGAATATAGAAGAGGTCCACAATGTAACTCAAGTATTTATTAATGGCTACCCAATCTCTTTTTTTGCTTGGTTTCTGGGTTGTCTGGTTGTTTTTTGTTTGTTCTGTTTTTTCCTTTTTTTGGGGGGGAGGGTTGCTGTGTTTGGGTTGGTAACAACTGCACAACTCTCTCTCTCTATATATATATATATCATCTCCTAACGCTCCTTAAACCTAACAAAGTGGGACGCAAGTTTTTTCCTACATCAAGGTCTTCTATCTGCAACTGTTTCACATGGCAAATTCCCATTTCAGCCAATTGGTACTCTGTTCCCAGAACAGATGCAAAATCCAACTCCCTATGAGAAGACACAATGCAGCTTAATTCTAAGAACAAAGTATCAATTCACTCTCTAAGTTTTCATAATTCTGTATTCAAATGACGCTTTTAATTGCAATGGGAATTCCATAACCCTTCCCTTCTCAAGGAAAGTTACCTTTTTTTTTTTTCCTCTAGTTAGAGGACAAAAACAGTACAGCAATACTGTATTTTCCTATATATGTATATTCTAGCTGCTATTTCAGAGCATGGTTCTAGGCTACAGACAGATAGAAAAACACCTGCATCTGACTCACTACAGCACCAGCCCTGACAAAGAGACATACAGGCTGTTAACAAGGTAGGGATAAAGAATTTGAAGGTCAAATCAAAATGTGTCTCTTTGTTCATGACATACACATCAGTATCATAAAAGCAATTCTGAACAAGCTGCTGCTTGCTGCGTTGAAGGTCCTTACAGAATTAAACAAAGCATTATAACTAGTTTAATCACCTTTTAAATTTTAAAATTCATCTTCTCTTGCTATATGAATTTTTATTGCCTTATACATGTCTTTTCGCACTGCGCTCTTCAAAGTAACCCTGAAATAAGCAGATGTTTAATTCCCATAGAACATGTCAATGCCTAAAACTTGTACAAGCAATGCAAATCTTTTACACATGGGAGCTAGCAGTATTCACAAATGATACCCTATTTCCCTGTGGAAGAATAACACAAAAGAACCTATGAAAAAAATTTCTCTGTGCTGGAAAAAATGAAAACTCAACACTGGTTTGTTTAGTTAAGGGGAAAAGCTTCAAACCGTTAGCCAGACTGAAGCATCAGAATCACAGCAAATAAGAATTTGACAAAGGCAGACAACAGGAAAGATCTTGACAGTAGCAAAACCAAACAACCAACCAAAGACAGCTCTATTATGAGATACACTCCTGCATATATTTAAAAATTCAATCCATACAGTTTACTAAAGTGGTGTGTTCAAATAAATTAGCTATTAAATTCATGAGTGTAAGTAAAACTTAGCATATATATCAAATTATCCCTGCTATTAGTTTGTATCATTTTGTTCAGTTTTAATATTCTGACAATGAAAAATGCTTAAATGAGTGATTTAATTCCTTTGTTAACAGCTCATGAGACTTCTAAAACTTAAAATCACACACCTACTTTGAGAAAAAAAATACCTGTAACATTTTATGATGGAAGTTAAAAAAGTAATAATTTTTTCCATGACTAATGACTCAGTTTAATAAAGATGCCACATGAAAACATAAAATAGAGAAGAAATGAATGGTCACGGAAGCATGACCATTCTGAATGAGAAAAAAAATTACCAGCATAGCCTTAAAAATAAAAATCTCAGGAATATTCTGTTGCTGATAAGCAGGCTTTCAATCTTTAAACCCATAAATTTCTACTTTCAAACAAAGCACATAAAATGTTGTAACTTTTTTCCTACTTTCAGTGGGATTTAGCAGCTTAAGTCCCAAATCATTCAAGAAAGTTTAGAGTGCCTTATGTTGTTTTTTTTAATTATTATTTATATTAGAGATACCTACATATTTAGATGCTCAGTTGAGAATTTGGGCATATAAGCATCTTAGGCACACCTTCTATATGCCAAATACAGTATCCTGGGAGTAAATTAAAACATCACAACTACAGGTTTTCATTTTGGACTGCTTCTCTTTAAGATTGTTTGAATTGCACAGACTTTTTTTCATTCTTGTTGTTAGGAAGATGTTACAGCATTCCATCTGTATATACTCCCTTTTACTGGCCACTACATCTAGCATAATTATATGTAATGATATGGTTTTCTAATATTCCTTTAAATATGTTCAAGATGTTCACAGACATTAATGGAAGTTCAGGAGCATAACTGTTCAGCACCTGTGTAGCAGGTTCAGATGCCTATTACAGTCTTCTTTATCTTTCAGTTATTAGAACTTAGGAAATCCTAATTCTTAAAATTACTAACTGAACAACTCCTCTCTTAATTAAAGGTGCATACAGCTATTGTCAAAGCTCTTCTTTGAGTACCCAAAATAAAGGGACACTTCTGGTATGTAGAGGAATATAAGATTTAAAAATGTATAAACCAAAACATTAATCCTTACTTGTTTGCATGATTAGAAAACAGAATACTGAAGATTTTTCTTATCTATAAAAGTAACCAAAATGTGGCCTTTTGTATTTTCATATTTCCATTTAGAATTATTACATACTAGTAACAAACCCCATCAACTGTGAGGGACAGAAGCAAATTCGAAGCAAAGCCCATTGCTTTGTAACATTCTAAGTCTGAACTTTTTATGCTGTCTCACTTGGACAGAAGACTTGTTTTGCAACTTCTTCTCGAAGGACTTACCGGCAGTGTTTATGTGATCCTGTTAGGGTTTCAATCACAAAGCATTCCCCTTCATTGAGACAATACGCAAGATCCTTGTCTTTGCATGGCTTAAAGTGCTCAGATCGCTCAGTGGAATACGTTGTAGTATCTGCGGAGAGAACAGAAAAAAAAGAAATGCTGTAAGAATAAATCTTGGATCTTCTTAAAGTGTATGTTAAATAAATTAGATCAAATCAGCCTCAGTACAACAATTAATCAAGACAGACTAAATAACAGAAAACAGAAGAACAGTGCAAACTTCAGTGTGACTGCATATCATATGCAACTGAGTTCCTATAAGATTCACAAAGGGAATCTTATATTTGGAAATATTCTAGACTGCAGCAGTTGAGTATAATTTCAACTACTTCCAAAGTATACCTTCCAAAATGTAAACATGTCTATTTTGTATTCTTTAACTGGAAAAAATAATTTCATATTAATACACTGAAATATAGTTTTATACAAAATACACATTTTTTTCATTAAAAAAACTGAGCAAAAGTAGTTAACATAGTAACAATCTAAGAAAACCCTGGACCATGAACTCTGGAGCAATGAAACTAAAAATAAAGCAAAAAGCCTAAGAACAATGCTAATTTGAACTACTAGACACAAAACCTCCCAGAACACAAGCAATGCAACCTAGATTGTGTAATTTCAGGTACACCACCTGAACACACCCTCATCACAGTTCAAAAAACCGATTACAGCTTTGACTGTTGGCTGTAACTTTGGAATAAGTAGATAGATACCAAGATTTGGAATAGGCTGACAGTATGTTGGGGTGAGCTATAATTCCTGGCTTCTAATAGATCTCTTTAACCTTTTGAATCCAACTGCACTCACAATTACAGTGAAATTTTCAGAGGAAGATATTTGATGGAAAGATATTTTAATTTTATTCCCGAAGACAAGGATTTTTCTATTGAAGTGTAATTTTCAAAGTAGACAGCAATTTCCACAGAGCCATGGTTTGATCTTCATATACAATCTTAATTCTCAAAGTTTAAATTCCTACTCATTCTGAAGGGATAAGGGCCAGGATCCGACATACTAATATATATTAAAATTGTAAGACAACATTTCATTATATATCATACAATCACAAATTACTGTGTTACCTTCTCCCAAAAGAATGAAGCTGTGCTCGATGCACACAGAACTTTGCAAAAAACACATTAGCTTGCTTTTTGCTCATAACTTGATACAAAGTAAGTATCTGCCAATGTAATACGGAAGCTGAAAACCAAAACACTGCAGCACAAAACACCTGTAAATACAGTTCTGTGAGAAAATTCAGGTAATTCCAAAAATCTTTCAAGGTAACTTTTTTCACTTTTTTCATTCTTTGTGTATTTTAACTGTTCACTAGACTAAATGAAGGAAGATGAATAAAATGCATCTGAAAAGAGTAAGACAACCCACATCCTAATCTTTGTATACAACACTTTTTTTTGTTCCCCAGAGAGAAAATATTGTAGTTCAAGGTTTTCAGTGGAAAGAAAAAAATTCCTGGGAATAAACTCCAACAAGTCTCCCTTAAAATGCCTTTCGAGTTTCGTAATGAGAGGCCCTGCCATTTTCACTGACAGCAGCACTTACACAAAAAGGTACAGGCTATATAAAAACTACTAGGTTTTTAATGACTGCAAGCAAAAGTAAAATGTGTTAAATTGAATTCTGGAAACAATACAAAATGTCTGTAAATGCAAACAGTGACTAGCACATCACTGCTGACATTTCAAGAATGATCAGATTTTATGCAACAGAAGTATCTTTAGGTAGAAAAAAGGCAGATCAATTTTATATAGAAGCATTTAAATGGCCATTTAGAATTTTATTAGGAAAAAAAAACCCACAATATTTCTATCCCCTTTAAATATGAAAAACTGAAGATAATGTTATATAAAAGCACTTGTGATAATTACACAAGGTAAGTAAAATTGTTTGATGAGTAGCAACTCAACTTGATACGGCTTTAGAGAACAGAACACTTACATTTGTCAGCCTGCTCTGAAGAAACAATCTGTGCAAATACTTTTATGAAGGCAGTTGCATTACAGACCAAAGTAATCTGAGATATCCCCAAAGGAGAACAGCAAAACCAAGGAGAGACACAGTATCAAAAAGCCTGTCTTTGAGGTAATGACATACTAAACTCACAGTGTTTGAAGTGCATGATATTCTTGCAATAATTAACTCAAAAATACCTTGTAAAGGTCAGCATTTTACAGTTTTAGATTAAATACATTTTTCAGAGGTTTTGTTCTATTTTATCTTGTCTAATCAAGTCTGCAGCAGAAACTTTTGCCAATTCAGCAGTGTCAGAACAGACATGACATTTTATACTGGCAAAAGTGCCACTAAAGATACAGCTACAGCATAACTTAATTTGAGCAATAACTGAAATTACACAAGTGATGGAACTTCTCTGCTGATATAAATTGTTAACGAACCATGATCAGCCATTGCAGGAAGTCAGCCTTCCAAATGAAGCACAACAGTTGTAGGTAACAATGCTGACAGCTTCTTATGACAGCCTTGGAAAGAACACAATACATTGAAAAGTACACAATAATTTGTAATTTTTTTTTATTTTTAAATAAATATTGTCTCATTAAAAGTCAGTTTTCAATTATAGCCTTCCTGTCTTGAAAGTATTTGTGTTGATGCACATGGAAACCTCTGTCTATACACAGCTGACCTCTGATCTGCAAAGATCAGATGCCTTAGCTACAAAGGTCGTTCACTAACATTCGAAATCTCAACAGCTGTGTTACTAATTGATACCTTAGATATCCCTAGAGCTGTTTGGTATATTTTTGCTGGATATACACACATACAGAATATGTGAATTTTCTGAAAGGTAACAATCCTGCTTTTACTTCATGCTGTACTCATGATGAAACAAACTGTTACAGCTTCATTAAATACTGGGGGAGGAAAAAAACAACAAAACCAAACAACCAAACCATACCAAAAAACCATCACACCAAACAAACAAGTAAGACCTTTTTCTAAGCGGGGCTATAGAAAGAACAAAACAACGGAAAACACTTTAGACACTATGTAATTTTCCTGATTCTTTTTCTAAGAAATAAGAAAACTTATTGTCTTATTTTCATCCCTTCCTCCCCCGAGTTTTTGGAGTTGTTTTGGTAGGGTTTTTTTTAACTCCTAACCAAATATTGAATTGACTTTGATTTTTGAGCGACCTGCTCTAGTGGAAGGTGTCCCTGCCCATGGCAAGGGAGCTGGAACTAGATGATCTTTCAAGTCCCTTCCAACCCAAACCGTTCTACAATTCTACAACTTCTTTTTGTGAAATCATCTTTTATACCTTCACAAACCTGATAAGTACCCATTATTCATTCTACTGTGAAGTTTGATTTTATTTTTTTTAAATAAGTAATATAACCTAGGCATTCACAAAATAGTAGAGCCCCTTAATTTATTTCTAGTCTTTGAGCACAGGTAACAAATCCAAACATTTATGGGAAGCTTATGTTAAGAATTCAGATGTCCTTGAATTCAGTCCATAAACAGCAATAATCCATATTCCCATAATGACTCCTTTTTTCATGTTTGTATTTTTTTTTCCTTTTAACTGCAAAGTGCCAAGGTGTTTCATGACAAAGCAGCAGGTGCTATTGATTTCTGCTGGAATCTTTCCAGCTAAATAGGAATAAAGAATTTCTAGGCACTTTTGCTCTATTTTTCTTACCTCACTTTATCAGTAAAGCTTAAAACTCCAAAAATGAATATTCCACTGCCAAGTCTGAATTACTGTTTAATCAAATAAACAGGAATTCAGAACACATTTCAAAGGCTTCAAGATTTTGTATTCAGAAGCATAGAATCAGATAAAAAAACAAACAAAAAAAAAACCAAAAAACATTGTTTGGGAATATTGAAAAAAAAAAATGAGTAGGAAGTTTTCAGATATTATTTTAGTTTCTTAGGGTCTAAAGCCTGATCTAAAGAAGAGTTAGTGACTTTGTATTCTTGTCTCATTACTCCATTTCATCATGTTTATATCAGCACAGGATGGCTCGTTATAGCTAATTTATTGAGTGATCTTCAAGGCATGATAAGGATACTATAAATACTATCTTACTTCAAGGCTACCAGATTCATTGCTTCCAGTACTATTCTCTGATATTAATAAACCTGTAATTTCAAAGGACAAATGCAGGGAGAAAGATAATGGAAGATTCAAAATATCCTGAGAAACATCCACATTTTCGGCAGCTGTTTTTTCAGACACTACAGCAGCAGCAACCATTCCCACCCATCACATCCGTCTCACAGCATTCTGATTTTAGAAACCTGAAATAAAATTATATTCATCATCCATGTGCTTCATTGGAAACATTTTTGTACAGACAGACAGCCTTAACTGCTATGGGGAGAGCAAAAAAAAATTATACTTAGGGAACAAGAGACAAAAAGACCCTGCTTTTCTGAAGTCAGTAGTGGTGGGGCATCCAAATTTTGTAGCTCCATAGTAACATAGAAACATAGATTCATAGAATAGTTAGGGTTGGAAAGGACCTTAAGATCATCTAGTTCCAACCCCCCTGCCAGGGCAGGAACACCTCACACTAAACCATGCCACCCAAGGCTCTGTACAACCTGGCCTTGAACACTGCCAGGGATGGAGAACTCACAACTTCCGTGGGCAACCCATTCCAATGCCTCACCACGCTTACAGTAAAGAACTTCTTCCTTATATACAACCTAAACTTCCCCTGTTTAAGTTTTAACCCGTTACTCCTTGTCCTGTCACTACAGTCCCTAATGAAGAGTCCCTCCTCAGCATCCTTCTAGGCCCCCTTCAGATACTGGAAGGCTGCTATGAGGTCTCTACGCAGCCTTCTCTTCTCCAGGCTGAACAACCCCAACTTTCTCAGCCTGTCTTCATACGGGAGGTGCTCCAGTCCCCTCATCATCCCATCATCCTTGTGGCCCTCCTCTGCACTTGTTCCAACAGTTCCATGTCCTTTTTATGTTGAGGACACCAGAACTGCACACAATACTCCAGGTGAGGTCTCACAAGAGCAGACTAGAGGGGCAGGAATCACCTTCTTCGACCTGCTGGTCACA